AAACCGAGGCTCAGAGGGGGGCAGTGATTTTCCCTGAGGCACACAGCTGGTGAGTGGCAAAGTCTGGATGGGAACACAGGTCTGTCCCTAGTCACTTCAGCACACCACACGCCCTCCCCGCTTCCCCTTCTAGCAGCCCCATTTCCACATCCAGGGGCTGGCCTGCCTGGAATTTGGTCAGAAGTAGTTCCTGAGGCTACAGCTGTGGGGTCTAGGAGAAGAGTCAAGTGGTGGGAGTCCTGGGCTTGGAGGGGTGGAAGCGTGCCCCGTGCAGTGGACGTCCATGGTCAGGCATCCCTGTCCCTGTCTTGCAGCTGATTTTCCACTTCAGACTCTGGAGAGGTGCATGTGATCCATGCCAGTGGGTCAGACCCAGTGACGCTTCAGAATGGACCCAAGTCAGTCCAATGGGTATCAGCCCTGGGACTTTTACTGGAACTATTAAGAAAGGCTCCACTGAGGCTGCTGAGTTGGCAGGATGTGGGCCTGGAGCTGGCTGAGGGGTGTCTTTGCCAGTAATGGGGGGAGTCACCTGAGAATAAAGCCAGCATTGAGGAAAGCAGAGTTGAGAGATGGAGGGAGAGAGAGAACGCGAGAGAGCGAGTACGCTCAGAGAGACTCCTGATAACATCCATGGGTACCGGATCCCGCCATAGCTGAAGCCATTAATCTTTTCTGTTAAATGAGATAAATTATCCTTATTTTTGCTTAAACTAGTTTGAATTGCAGCTGAAAGAGTCCTTCCTAATCTACCTAGTCCCCAAGTAGTGGTCATTTTTGTCAGTGGCAAGGGACATGGATGAAAGCTGAGTTGACCTTCTAGTGCCCCCAGGCCCTGAGCAGGAGGACCCAATCTGGTCCTGGGGCCCCTCCCTGGCCACTCCCACTGCATGATCTCCCAGGGCTGCCTCCTGCCTCCTGAGTTCTCCCCCAGGCTCCCAATAAGCTACTTCTTGCCCCATCATGGCCCCCAGAAACCTAGCCCCCCACCCTCTTTCAACCCCAGTTGGGGAGGGGCCCTTCCTCCATTCTCAGGGTTGGCTTTGGACTTAGGCTGACTCAGATTTGAATCGCAGCCCAGGCTGCTGCTCCCTGTGTGCCGGCCCTTTAGAACACAGGCCTCAGCTCCCTTCCTGTAGCGGGGCTGCTTGGAGGGGTCCACAGGATTGGATGTACCTTGTGTGTGTTCCAAGGCCATGTGGGGCCCGGCACTGAGGAGGCAGCACCAGAGTCATCAGTTCCTGCCTCTGTACTCTGTACTCCGGCCAAACAGTCCCTTGCCTTCCACTGCGTCTCTCCCTGCTGACTTCAAATGAGCTCAAGCCATCCAGAGCTAGACAAAGCCCCCCTGCCTGCTGCCTCTCCAGCTGCCCACTCAGCCCCCTGCCATGGGCTCTGCCCCCTCGGCAGAGGAGACTGCACTCTCCAAGGGCGCTAATGGCCTCCCCTTCCTGGCACAGGGACGTTTCCCAGTCCCTGCGGCCTCCACCCACACAGCGTCGCACCCCAGCCTTGGAACACCGTGATCCCTGCAGCTCTGTGGTGTGGGGCAGCTGGGGGTGCAGTCGGGAGCACCTCAGACTTTGATCCTTGGAGCAGCAGGCCCAGGCCATTCTGGCTGGGTGGCTCTGGGCAGGTCACTTTCCCTCTCTAAGCCTTAGTTCCCTCATCTGAAATGGGCCTTTAATGACATCTCTCTTAAGTGTGTTTTGATGATGAAATGACATGAAAGCAATTGCTCTGTGGTTCCCAGCAGAGCTGGGCTGTGCAGAGCACGTGCCCTGTGCTTGTTTTCACTTCCATCTAGGCTAGCTCCTCTTCCTGAGATTCAGGCCCCAGCTGTCTGCTCTTCACCCTGCTCTCCCCTTACGTCCCCCTCAACTTCTCCTTCTTCAACCACCTTCCCTTGGCAGATGCCTCCCAGCTTCCTCCCTCCACCCATCTTGGCAGCTCAGCTGACCCTGGCTGCTAGTGGTCAGTCCTCCTCTTGGCCCACCAGAGCCAAGCCTCTTAAAAAGAGCTGTCTACACTCTCTTATCTGCACTCTCTCATTCCACATCCTCACCACCCACCCTCTTCTTCCTCTAACCCTGGGAGCCGCCACAGCTCTCTGCTAAACTGATCTGGCAAATGTCACCTTGTTGCGAAATGCCATGGGGACTCCTCATCCTTATCTGCCTGGTTGACACTGTTGGCAGCCTCTGGAAACACTCCTGCCCTGCCCCGGCCTACCTGCCCTTTGCTCTCTGGAGGTCGTCCTCCGCCTCTGGTGGCTCCTGCTTTCTCTGCCCAGTGCTGCTTCCTGGGCTCTCATCTCTTCCCTATGCTTGGGCCCCGGTCGTCCTCACACTGGATTTGGCCCACGTTTATTGTTTTTTTTTAATAGGATTTTAAAAAAATCTAACTTAGTTGCCAACATTCAAAAACCAGATTTCACATAAAAGTCTGAGTCTCTGGACGCTGTCGGTAAACTGGCAGATCTGGCCACAGCCTGGCATTCCCACGCGGCAGCCCTTGGTTGAGGCCAAGGGCAGGCGGCTGCCCCCAGAAGGCTCCCCCCAGCCCCCGTCCCTGACGGCTCCCAGCAGCACTCACCACGCACCCCTGTGCTCTTGCTCGCTTGTATCCATGGAAACCAAGGATGGACTGAGAGGGCCTCATGGTTCAAGAGAAGTGGGAGAGAGTACATTTCTTTGTGGAAGTGAAAGATACTCTGTGCTGAATATGCTAGGGATGTCTAGGTTGAAAGAAAACCATATCCCACCTGCTTTACTCCTGATGTGACCTGCCTGGGCCCTGCTCCCCACCTCTCTCTAGACATCAATGACAAGCATCTGTGATGACTGTGCCAGGCCTGTCCCAAACTCATTCCCGAATTGAATCCGAGGTGAATCCAGACTTGAATCTTCAGCTGCTCCCTGAATTTGTCTCCTAAATGTCCGGGCACCTCATTCAGTCATCAACAAACATTCATTGCGCATCCACTGTGGGCCAGGCACTGTTCTAGGCTCTGGCAAGACATCGTGAAAATAGGGCCAGCCCCGTGGCTTAGCAGTTAAGTGCGCGCGCTCCGCTGCTGGCGTACTGGGTTCGGATCCCGGGCGCGCACCGACGCACAGCTTCTCTGGCCATGCTGAGGCCGCGTCCCACATACAGCAACTAGAAGGATGTGCAGCTATGACATACAACTATCTACTGGGGCTTTGGGGGAAAAAAGGTAAATAAAATAAAAAAAAAAAAAAGACATCGTGAAAATAACACAGGAAGCTCTGTACTCAGGCTCCAGGGCTCCTCAAGAGAACACAGCGACCCTTCTCTTCTCCTAAAGGGGATGGGCCCAAGCACCTGTTGAGAATGCCGGCAACTTCAGATGTGCTGAAGGTCCTCATTCCAGGGAGCTCTGAAGGACAGGTGGCCATGGGCACACTAAGTTGTCTAGGCCTAGTCTGGTCCCTCTCCAGTCCATGCTTGGGATAGGAGAGATAACAGTGCCCCTAGGGTGGTGGAGGGCACCTGCGGGAAGCAAGGGGCCCTGGGGAAAGATGGGACCACCACCAGAGCCTGCAGATGTCGAGAGGCGGGCGGAAGTGAGCTTCCCAGAGGGGCACTCACTGGTGAACGGTGCTCAGTGTCAGCCAGTCCCAGGACAGTGTACTCAGCTTCAGGCCTGGCTCCTAGCCCTGCTCATGGCTCAGTGGCTGTGCGGCCTTGGTCAGGTCTCCTAATCTTTCATCTATGAAACGAGTCTAGGGGCCACCCTGGTGGCGCAGCGGTTAAGTTCGTGCATTCTGCTTCAGCGGCCCAGTGTTCACCGGTTCGGATCCTGGGCACAGACCTACTCGCCGCTCATCAAGCCATGCTGTGGCAGCGTCCCATATAGAAGAGCTACAACTCCACAGCTGTGATACACAACTATCTACTGGGGCTTTGGGGAGAAAAAATAAAAACAGAAAGACTGGCAATAGATGTCAGTGCAGGGCCAATCTTCCTAAAAAAACCAAAAAAACAAAAAGAAGAAATGAGTCTAACTGCAGACACTTCACAGGGCTGCTGGGAGAGCATGTGAGATGATGTAAGCAATGGTGGTCTATTCCAGACCCCTAGCAGGGTGTCCTTCCTTCCTCTCCTCACTCCTCATCCCCCAGGCCCCCACTCTAGGCTCCCTGGGACCTGTCACTGGGTCGCATCTCTGCCATGTCACTTTCTGCTCCTCCCTTCCCCTGGCCCGTGCCCGTCCTCCTAGTCTCCCTCCTGTCCACCCTGCTCATGGCTCTCGGCTCTCAGGGCTCTTTCTACAACACAGATCTGAACTGGTTGCTTCACTATTTCTTTTTTTTTTTTAAGATTTATTTTTCTTCCCCCCCAAAGCCCCAGTAGATAGTTGTATGTCATAGTTGCACATCCTTCCAGCCGCTGTATGTGGGACGCGGCCTCAGCATGGCCAGAGAAGCAGTGTGTCGGTGTGCACCCAGGATCCGAACCCGGGCCGCCAGCAGCGGAGCGTGCGCACTTAACCGCTAAGCCACGGGGCCTGCCCCTGCTTCACTATTTCAAACTCTTCTGTGCCCTGACTCCCCACCCCCACTTTGCCCTCAGGAAGCAGTCCCAGCTCCCCAGCCCGGCACTTGTGGCCTCCCAGGACCTGGGCGCTGCCCTTTTCAGCCCCACCTTCTTCTGCTGAAGCGTATGATGGCGGCCGGCACCTCTGGGCCTGCCCTCTGGCTGTGCCTGTTTTCCATGTCCGATCCCTGCAGGTGCACACCCAACTCCTCTTCCCTGACCTCCAAGCCAGGCCACGCCAGGCTCCCCCACTTCTGTGGCTGCCTGGGCCCAGCACACAGGATCCCCCTTTATCTCCTCCTGATGACCAGGAGCCCTCCACGTCCCCAACACAAGGACCACCAGGGTGGCAAGCCCTGGGCAAACTGTCTTAATCTCTGCCCTGCTATGTGCCTCAAATCCCACCCTTCCTGACGTGTAGGGGGAAGCACACACAGGACACAGCTGGATACAGGTTTATTGTGGCACTGGACGTGAACAGGGGCCGGTGTGGCCAGCACCGGTGTGCAATGGTGGTGGAGGGAGTTGGGGGGGAGATGCAGGGGGTGGGGCAGGGCCCAGGGAACCCTAGGCTTCGGCCAGGAGTTGGGGTTGGGGCAACTTTTGCCAGCTCTCCTCAGAAATCTCGGGGTGATGACTCCAGAACCAGTGACCCCTCTGGCTGGGCTGGGCAAGGTGGCAGTGGGTGGGAGAGGCTCACACGTGGGAGAAGGCATGGCTCTTGCAAAGGGGCTTGTCCTTCTTGGAGTAGAAAGTCTTTCCTTCCAGGTTGATCTGACATATCTGGGGACAGCCAAGGTCCAGTCACATGGGGTTGAGGGTGGCAGGGGAGGCCCCTTCCCAACCTCTCATGAATCCCAGATGCAAGGGGTGGGAGGGAGGCTGGTGAAGAACACAGGGCGCTAGGGGTGACCCGAGTCTGAGGGGGGCACTCACTGCACACACGAAGCACGTGTCGTGCCAGCTGAAGCCCAGTGCCTCCAGGAAGCGGTCCCCAGCATCAATCTTGAAGTCACAGCCACGGCATTTCGTGCCAAACATCTTCTCATAGTCTGGAGACCGACACAGAGAGGAAGGGGGTGCTGGGTTCTCACATGTCCCACACCCCGCCCCCCTCACCTGGCCTTGCCCCCTTGCCTGGCCCGCCAAGTACCTCGCTCGCAGTAGGGTGCCCCTTCCTCCATGTAGAAGGCCCGGTTACGAATGGGTGTCTTGCAGGCTGCGCAGGTAAAGCAATACACGTGCCAGGTCATCTTCAGGGCATGCATGATCTCCTGGGAGGAGGCGACAGTCACCAGGGGGCTCAGCCCCCTCCTCTCCAGAGCCCAGGACACAGGAACGCTGGCCTCGGGCCCTCTTCCTTCCCATGGTAAAGGTTACAGCTGCACACCCACCCCTCCCACTCTCTATCTCCCCCCCTGAGGTCTCCCCACAGAAGTCCACGCCTCTCAGGCTTGCCACGTCCAAAGCCAAGCTCCCAATCTCCACCCCCCAAACCTGCTCCTCCCAGAGCAGTCTCCATCTCAGCTGATGGCACCTCCATCCTTCCATTTCCACAGGCTAAGTTCCCCTCTTTCTCACGTCCCACATCAGGTCCTCCAAGAAATCCTGCTCGATTTCACCTCCAAGAGGCATCCAGGTTTGGACCACTTCTCATAGCATCCCTGATGCAGAACATGAGCCTCAGGCGTCTGTGGCCTCAGGGACTTCACAAAACTTGCCTCCGTGCTCCTCCCTCTGCCCCTCCAGTCTGATGTCAACACCAGCCAGGCCACATCCCCCTCTGCTCGAATTCCCACCTGCTCCACATTTCTCTGAGCAAAAGCCACAGCCCTATGAAGGGCCCAAGTGAAGGGCCCAGGGGCCGCGGTCTGGCCTCTGTCCCTTTGCTCTCCCAATGGCCTCTTGCCCATGGTTGATGCACCAAGCACACTTGTCTTGGGGCTTCACACCAGCTGTCCCCTCTGCCTAGACTGCTCTGCTCCAGATATCTGCAAGGCTCAGCCCTCACCTCCTTCAGGTTTCTGCTCAAATGTTACCTTTTCCATGAAGCCCACTCTGATAACACCAGTTCATATTCCAACCTGCCTTCTCAATGCCATACTTCCAATACCTCTATCTCTGTGCTTTCCTTTTCTCCACAACTTTTCTCTTAGTAACACTACTAGGTAATTTACCTATTGTGTCCATTGCTTATCATCTGCCTCTCCCCCCTTCTTCCTGCTCAAAGGTAAGGTCCAGGAGGGCAGGACCTTCTGGTTAGAACATCAACTGTTCTATTAACTGATAGATCCCAACAGGGCCTGGCCCCCTACATGCCTATCAACAAGTGATTTTTGAGTTAATCTGGGCGGGGCTCAGCTCTCCCTGGGCCAGCTGTCAATCCCTGGATCCCTTGGGCCAAGCAGGGCCACAGCATTCAGATCTGGAGCAGGTGGAGAGCAGTGTGGGGCCTCAACGGGGTCAGGCCTGGGGCTTCAGCTAGACCTTGCTTCTTAGCTAGGGGACTTTGCCAACAGCTTTACCTTCTCCCGACACTTGGTTCCTTCCCTTGTGAAATGGGAACCTAATCCCAGCCTTGCAGGGTTGCTGTGAGGATGGCCCTGCATTTGAAGCTGGGGGTCCCAGACCCAGTGCCTGCCAGGGCTGGGTGGCTACACAATACAGCAAGGTGGGCACTGTGTCATGGCAGAGCACCGGTTCTGCCTGTAGGGGCAGTGCTGACCAGTTCATTTAGGAATGCCTAGAAGGCTCAGGTGGAAATCTACATGTTAAAGTGAAATCTCTTGATTTATTTAATTAATTAATTTATTTATTTATTTATTTTTTGTGAGGAAGATTGGCCCTGGGCTAACATCCGTGCCCATCTTCCTCTACTTTATATGAGACACCGCCACAGCATGGCCTGACAAGTAGTGCGTACGTAGGTCCGCGCCCGGGATCCAAACCTGCGAACCCCGGGCTGCCGCAGCGGTGCACGTGCACTCAACTGCTGTGCCACCAGGCCGGCCCCGAAATCTCCTGATTTTTTAAATATTAGCCATTAATTTAAAAATGAAGCAGTGTGGACCTAGCTAGACATGTGTCGGCAGCATGCAGCTCTCAGGTGGCCCATCTGTGCCCTCTACAACATTGATGTCACATCTCACATACAACTCAAAACCACCCTGGCCAGGAAGTTACTGCCATCCCCACTTTAGTGAGGCCGAGAGCGACTTGTCCCAGGTCACACAGCCAATAGACGGTAGAAACGAATTTCGTGCCCAAGTCTGCCTGCCTCCAAAGCTGGCTCTTCCCACTGCCTAGTGTTGCCTCTTTTCAAAAAGCAAAGGGTCCAGGGGAAAGAATGTGGCTGCAAGCTGGTAGGACAGGGGACTCGGCAGAAGCTTGGGGAGCCCAGAATGGGGTCCGGGGGCGTGTGGGCAGGGAGTCAGGTTTCTGTCAGTATTCAGAAGACCCAGCTGTCACTGTCTATTTTACTCCCTTATCTTTCCTCTATCTGTCTGCCTCTCCATCCCCACTTCCCTGACCCAGGCCGAGCAGCCTCAGTTCCTCTTTTCTAGCTGTCTCCTCCCGCCCCAGAGGAAGCTGGCTGAGGCAAATCTGACCACATCAGCCCTCAGCTCCAAACTCCTCTCACAGCCCCATCCACCTCTTCTGTCTCCTCAGTCTCCGTCCACCTCTTCCGTCTCTTCTCACACCCCTGTCCACCTGTTCCATCTCCTCACACACCCCCGTCCACCTCTTCTGTCTCTTCTCACACCCCCGCCCACCTCTTCTGTCTCCTCACACACCCCCACCCACCTCTTCTGTCTCTTCTCACACCCCCGTCCACCTCTTCTGTCTCCTCTCACACCCTCCCCAGGTGCTGCCCTGGGACATGAGCTATTTCCTCTGCTTGTAATAATCTCCCCAGATCCTTCTCCGAGCGAATTCCTACTCATGTTTCAAGTTCAGTTTAGAGACTACTTCCATCCACTCCTGTCAACTATTTACTGACCACCTCCTATACAGGAGCACAGTATAAATCATGACCAAAACAGCCCTGGTCCCAGCCCATGGAGTCCACACCTGGGGAAGTGATGGGACAAAAAGACTAGGGGGTAGTGAGCCAATTTTTGGGGGGTCTCATCTGGTGGGGAGAGTGGGTATCAGGGAAGGTGTTCCTGAGGAAGTGATATTTGAGTCCCAGATGAGAAGGCACAAGATAAAGAGGGTGCCAAAGAGTGTCCCTGGCAGAGAGGACAGCCTGTGCAGGGACAGCCCTGTGGCGAGGGGAACAGCACATTGGTAAAATGGAGCACCGGAGCAAGGGGGGCTGCTGGTAAGTGGTAAGCCTTGATGGCATAGGGTCCCAGATGGTTCCCAGACCAGGACAGGTCCACTCTAATGTGTCCCCTCAGCCCTCAGAGCTTCTTTCCAACTCCGCTGAAACAATCTGATTGCACTGTGTTTCTCCCCACGCCACGCTGAGCTTCGAAGGAAGGCATGGTCCCGAGCGCTGGGCACAGGCAGGGCATGGAGCTCGTGGCAGGTTGGGGAGGTCAACTTCCTGCCCCTTGGAGGGTTAGGTGGGGGCTCCCTAGGTTCTGTCAGGCCCTGGAGTCCCTGCAAGAGTAGGAGCTGAGGGCCCTGGGCAGCTCTATGGAGCCATTGGCCTCGGTCGAGGCAGGAGAGGGTTTCTCACCCAAGACTTACTCCAGCCCCCAGGAGCCAGCTGGGCCCTGGGAGCCTCAGCTCCCCATCTGTGGCCTGGGTGACAACCCTGCCCACCCAGGACTGGGGCGGGGCAAGACGAGTACGGTGTAATGCAGGCAGAGCGGTCAGTGAACAAGAGGGCCTAGACCTATGGGAAGCAAACCCAGATGCCCAGCTCAAGAAGGGTCCTGGGATCCAGCCCACTCTGCCAGAACAGTCCAACTGGGTATGGCCTAGGCTGGCAGGGAAATGACTGTGATCTTGGACAAAATTCCCTCAGCTGTAAGATGGAAGTAGCCAAAGTGACTTCGTAGTATGATTGTGAAGCTGGATGTCTACACACAGCTAGTGCCCCACCACACGAACCGTCGTTATAATGACAAAGACTGTGTTAATATCCATTCTCCCCTTCCTGTCTACTGACAGAACTCCCATTTTGTGCTGGGTACATGGCTGCCCAAAACAGACTATCTTCTCCAGCCTCCCTTGCAGTTCAGTGTGGTCATGTGACTGAGTTCTGGCCAATGGATGGAAGCAGAAGGGTTGGGAGGCGGCATCTTCTAAGGATGGCTGCCATGGGCCCTCCATCCCTGCCTCCCCTTCCAACTTCCTGCTGGCTGGAATATGGACACTTGGGCTGAGGCTCAAGAGCCATCTTGGACTACGAGTGATAAGTAAGCCCCTGCTGAGAATGGCTAAGCAACAGGATACAGGAGCTTGGATCTGCCTACCAGTCCCAGACTGCCTGGCTCTGGACTTCTTTAGGTGAGAAATAAGCCACCTTTATTTTAAGTTTTCTGCCACTAGTGGTCAAGCTAATCCTCACTACTACGAACATCACCGGAGCTCTCTGGCCACATCTGGCAGCTCAGACTGTGGATCCAGAAATAAGGAGAAGCGTGAGTGGCAGCAGAGCCCCCACCGGAGTCAGCAGTGCCTGGGGCTGCTCCAGCAGGACCTCAGGTCCTGCAGACTTGGGCTGTTTCCGCCCCTCTCTGGGCTTCGGCTTCCACACACGTGCAACAGGAACCCCCTCAGCTTGTCACCCTACCTATCCCGCCCCCTTTTCTCTGGCTCTGCCCTCAGCCCAACACCTTCCGCAGCCCCCTCCCCAGGGTGAGCTCCTGGGGGCAGGACCCACGTCTGTCTCTTCACGAGGTGTCCCCAGCATGGGGCACACTGCTCACACCTAATAAAGACACAAATGGAGGAAGGTGGACAGCCTGTCACCCTTTGCTCGTGACACGCACCGACCCAAGCCCCAAGCCTGGCTCCGGTTGGCAGGCAGCTAGTTTGGCGCGCAGGCAACCTGCTCGGGCTATGCTGTGTGTTTAGCCTCAGCAAGAAGAATAACATTTTTCGTGTGTGTGTGTGAGGAAAATCGGCCCTGAGCTAATGTCTGCCAATCCTCCTCCTTTTGCTGAGGAAGACTGGCCCTGGGCTAACATCTATGCCCACCTTCCTCCACTTTATATGGGACGCCACCACAGCATGGCCTGACAAGCGGTGCGTTGGTGCGCGCCCGGGATCCAAACCTGAGAACCCCGGGCCGCCGCAGCGGAGCGCACGCACTTAACCGCTTGCGCCACCGGGCCAGCCCCAAGAATAACATTTTGAATCACAAGTTTTTGAGTCTGAAGTTCTGGCTTTGCCACTCGGTAATCCTGGGCCCTTCATGCACATCAAGTTATCTTTCAGAGTCTCTGTTTTCTCATGCGTGCGGGGCAGAAGACACTATGGATTGGCCTTTCAACAGCCTGTCACAGCCCCCTTCTTTTTTGCCTTCCTCTCTTTTGGAGGATGGAAGTTAAGATACGGGTTTGTCAGCTTCCCCTGTGGCCCAGGTGCTCATAGGATAACAATTCCACCACTGAGATACAGATGCAAGTTTCTAGTTTTTCTTCCAGAGTCAAAAAGCAAAACCCTGTCAAAAGAATGCCATTTGCGGGCCGGCCCTGTGGCTTGGTGGTTAAGTGCGCGCGCTGCGATGCTGGTGGCCCGGGTTCGGATCCCGGGTGCGCATCGAGGCACCACTTCTCCGTTCATCCTGAGGCCGAGTCCCGCATACAGCAACTAGAAGGATGTGCAGCTACGGCATACAACTATCCACTGGGGCTTTGGGGGGAAAAATAAAATAAATAAAATCTTTAAAAAAAAAAAAAAAAAAAAAGAATGCCATTTGCCCCTTCCCTCTCCTTCCTGACTACAGGAACACAAAGACTGCAGCTTCAGCAGCCATCTGGCAACTACAGTAGATAAGCTTGGGGACAAGGTCTACATGCTGAGGATTTCAGAGCCAAAAAGCAGGAAAAGCCTAAAGGCATCCTTGAGCGGCTGTTCCAGCCTCGGAATTCTTGTGACTGAAGTCAATAACCCCTTCTGATTGCATCTCTGTAACGGGGTTTTCTGTGACCGCAGCTGAATGCAACCCCACTGACACGGCGGCCATCTCTTGTTTTGGCCTGACCAGCACTTACTTCCCTTCTTCAGGTAATGTCATCCTGGTTTTATTTCAAGGAACCAGTCCTACCTCACTCGCAGTCTGTGGTTCAGGCAGGGCCACCCAAATCTTGCTCCAGGAGTCAGTGTCACCCAGGCCTAGCCAATCTGAGTCACAGGGCTTGGTTCAGAGATGGGCATGTGACACAAGCCAGGCCAATGAGCATTAGCACTGGGACTCTTGATGCATCGACTGGCCCAGAGGCGCTCTTGTTCACTTGTGGGGCTCAGCGGGGGAGATCTAACCCTGGCACCATCTTTGCCACCTTCTAGGGAAAAGTATGCTGGGAACAAAGCCAATACAGATAAAAACACAGGCAAGTGGTAGAAAAGGAGTTCTGATGACCTCAGGACCTGCGTTCAGTTAGGCCTGAAGTTAGTGCCCCTTGGGCTTGCTGCTTATTTGAACCAATACCTTTCTTTTTTTGCTTGAGCCCTTTTGAGCAGAATTTTTTGTCATTTGTTAAGAGGATCTTGGTTAATATAAAGTGAGGCCAATATAGCAGCCTGCTTATGAGGCTGCTAAGGATCCAAAGGGCTCAGGCAGGGAGAGCCCCCAGGCCAAGGAGTTGCTCAACAGCACTCCCCACTGCTGACAGGGTTGGGATCCCCCCCCCATTCCCCTCAGCCCCACTCACGCCTGTGATCTTCGCCTTGCACTTGGCACAGCTGGGTGCGTAGCGCACGTCATAGCAAGGTGGGCAGAAGATGGCACCCTTCTCCTCGAAGAAGCCGCCCTCTTCCAGGACCTTCCCACACTGGCTACACACAAACTCCTCAGGGTGGTATGCGTGGCCCAGCGCCACCAGGTAGCGGCCCCTGGGTGGGAGGCAACGGCAGTGAGAAGGAGTGTCTGCAAACGAGGTAGGGGCTCCTGGCCCAAGTGGGTTTACTGAACACCTATTCTGAAGCCTTCAAGGAGAAGTTCATTCTCCCTGCTTTCCAGATAGGGGAGAAAATAGGCTTGGGAGGTGACCTGCCCAAGGTCACACGGCAAGAGTGATGCTCCTGCACTGCTTTGATGACAAGAGACGAGGGAGGGGTCAACCTTCAAACAGGGAGAAGGGCTACATTGGGTGGGGGGGCGGCGGGGGGAGGGGTGCTGCCTTGGGCCCAATGAGCCAAACCAAAGGAACTGCCGCCCTGAAGAGAAGGAGGCCGGAGTGCCCAGGAGCCCTGAAGACCAGTGGGCACCTGAGCTGTCCCTGGTGCCCATGCTGTGCTGCTTGCCTGTTCCATCTGGCCTGGGGAAGGGCCCGCAGGTCCCAGATAAATGGGGGTGTCTGAAGGAGGGGCTGCTCTGCAGAGCCTAAGAGCTGACAGGAGTTGAGGGCAGGGCTGGGGTTGAGAACTAGGAAGGTTCCAGAATCTAGCACACTGACTCTGGAGGCTGTGTGACCCTGCTGGGCCCCCGGGAGCAGCGCAGAGGGAGAGGGGCCTCTGGCCTGTCTGCTCTGAAAGCAGAGGCTCAGCAGGAGAGACTGAGCAAGCAGGAGGGAGAGAGGCAGAGGGGCTGGGAGGCGCAGGGCCTTCCTCGCCCAGGGAGCAGCGAGTGCAGAGGCACAGCTCAGATGTGTCACTGGCACTTCCTCCATTTGACCAGGGCAAACGCTGACAGAAGCTGTGTGTGTGTTTGGGGGGCGGGGGGGGGTACGTGATGCAGGATTCAGAATCTGAGGACCCAGGCCATGTCTCTACCCCAACTCCAAGTGGCAACTGAATCCTCATCCTCCTGTAGTGGTAGCTGAGATGAGTGGGGAGACAGACGGGGGAACAGAGGTCAGAAAGATGCCAGGGCTGGGCTTTGGGACAGGAAAGGCCAGGGTAGGAAAGGAACAGGGCCACCCACCGGATGACCTTGTGGCACTGGTGGCACACAGGAGTCTTGCCATTGCTGCCGCTGCCCCCTCCTGCACCCCCTCCAGCAGCTGCTTGCACGATGGAGGTCCGGTTCTGCAGAGGTGTGGGGGTGGCCGGCTGGCTGTGCCGGGTTAGCACCGTGCTTGTCTTGTCTGGGGCGTAACGCTCGGCAAATGCAGGGTCCACAGCCCAGGGTGGGCGGCTGGTGGAGCTGGGGGTGGTAGGGCCTGCTAGGGCCAAGGAAAGTGGCTCCAGGGGGGTGCCCAGGAACCCCAAAGGACAGAGGGTAGAGCCCAGGGCAGCTTGCAGAGGCCCGCCACCCCCATGCCCCTGGGGGCTACCCACCCTTCCCCAGGCCCAAGCCCACTCTCTCTCACCAGGCCAGGGTTCCTGGGGTGTAGCTGAGGCTGGGGCTGGGGCTTCTGTCCTGGGCACCTGGCTGCAAGATCTGCCATTCAAGGCCCTGCACAGCTGAGGCTCTTGGCATGGCCCTACCCCCCAACCTTGGTCCTGCTGGCCCCATGGGAGATGCCTGGGTGTATGAGAGCTGCTGAGCTGGACTCCAGGTCCACTGGGGTAGGAATGGTAGGGCAGCTTCTTCCAGCCAGGTTCCAGCTGGCTGGTCTGTTGTACAGGGCTGGGAGGTGGAGCAGGGATCTCACTCTGGGGCAGCTCTTGGGGCTCCCCTCATCCCAGAGATCTAGCTCTGACGGCAGGGCCCTCTTTACCGGGTACTCCCTCCCACTGAGACCCAGACTGGCAGGGCCCACACTCGGTGTGAACTAACACCCCCATGCCCAAAATACAAACCAACCCCACAAAGATAGAAGACAGAGGCAGAGAAAGCAGTGTTGAGAATGTTTATTTCCATGCCCAAGCCAGCAGAGACCTGGCAGACAGCAGTACCACAGGGCAAAGAAGGAGGGCAGTGGCAGACAGAGCCAGGCCCTGTGCCAGGCAGGCATGGCCAGGGCCAGGCCAGCAGGAGGCTCAGTCCAGGGGCAGGAAAGGGGTGGGTGAGGTAGGCAGAAGCTGGAGGCACCAAGGAGGGGTGCCGTGGGCAGGAGGAACAGAAAGAGTGAGGCAGAGAGGGCAGCCGGCCGGTGAGGGCCAGGCTACGACTGCACGTTGAGCACGTGGGCAGAGCGCTGGTGGTGCCAGTCCCGGAGGCGTGTGTAGCGTGGGCTCTGCAGCTCCAGGACATACTTTTCCCTGAGGGGCAGAGAGAGAAGGAGGAAGTGGAAGGAAGGAGAAATGGAAAGGAGGAAGAACAGAAGGAAGGAAAGAACGAAAGAAAGAAAGAGAATGGAGCGCCCTGGCTGGGGATGCCCAGGAGCAGACATAGGGCAGGGGCTGGAGCAGGAGAGGCAGGAGATCAGAGAAAGACTGGTGCCCATCCTTTTACCTTGATTTCTTCAGGTGCTCCTCATCCGGGTCTTGCACTGAGAGGGCAGAGGCAGGTATTGATCAAGAGAAGACAGAGGGGCACCCCAGCCCTGAGCTCTGGCTGAGCCCAGGCCTGGGCTGGGGACCAGGAAGAGAGTCCACCCTGCCCCAGGCTGGCACTTACTGAACTCGGTGCCCGTGAGGTGGGCAAGGATGCGGAAGGAACGGGACTGGCCTGTCCCAGGACGCGGCCGCCAGTCCTCTGTGTCCTCCATCAGCCGCTGCTTGCTGGCATCTGGGACCAGCGGTCGGAGCGGCTGTCTGTGGGGAGGGTGTGGCTCAGAACCTCATGCTGGGGGTGGGCAGTGGGGGCAGCCCCTCCTGGGATTTGGTACACGTGGGCTATGGTGATGGGAGAGTGGGGAAGGGCAAGGCCAGGGCCCTGCTGGGGTGGGGGTGGGGGGCGGGGGGCAGGTAAGTGAGAGGGAAGAGGGCAGTCAGGGTGAGAGGAAGGCAGCCAGGGTGGGGAGGGGCCACCGCCCAGAGTGCCAAAAGGAAGGAAAAGAGGGACAGGCAGAGGGGGCTCACTGACTTGTCAGGGGTCTGCACCTGTGAAGGAAATAGACAGATGGACAGATAAAGGGACAGACACAGGTGAAGAAGAAAGATGGCAAGGGGTCAGAGTAGCCAGGGGCAAGGCTGCACTGAGTGTCTGGGGCTTAGTCGGCCCGACGCCACACCCCAACCCCAGGCCGCCGGCGGGGGGCGCTGCCTCGTTCAGAGCCCCTAGGAGGGCAGTGCCTGGACAGGAGCCACACCCTTCGAGGGGCCCTGTGCCTGCAGCCCCTGCCCCAGCCACAAGGGGTCGCTGCCACACGGTTCGGCCGGGCTGGGGTGCAGCGCAGACGGAGCAGCAGCGGGCGTGGGGCCGCGACAGATAGTGTGGGCGGTGGGCAGGCAGGACAGACGTACCCATTCTGCTGCGGGGCGCTGTCAGCAGGCAGGGGCGCCCCGAAGGGCCGGGCCGTCTTGTTGAGGGAGGCGCTGGGTGCAAAGGTGTACCGCGGGGGGTCCGCGGCGGGGGCCAGGGCCTGGGCGGAGACAGAGCCACACAGCCGGGCAGGGGGGGCGGGGGTCTGGGTGGGAGTGGGGCGCCCCCCTCCCCCCGCCCCGCGTGGAGAGGACAGCGGTGCTCCAGCCCTGCCCCCACACATCTGGCCAGGGGCTACAGGGGAGGGGGCGACTCCGGTTTCAAGGGGCCCATTTGGGAGCGATGATCTCGGCCCAAGCAGGCCCAAGGGCAGATGAGCGAGCGCGGCTTGCAGCACAAGCCGGCAGCAGCGGGCCGACAGACAAGCAGACATGCGTGGTACCCGGACCGTGAGGCAGCCCCCGGCCCAACTCCCAGTTCCCCAGACTCTCCCCAGCTCCAGTCTCCGCCCTCTGCTCCCCGCCAGGGATGGGGGTACCGAGCCTACGCCAGGAAGGGCAGGTTAGCCTGGGCGTCCAATCCCACCCGGCCCACCACCCAGATGACCCAGGACCGTCGCCTACCTTCTGTGGTTTGCTCTGAGCCGGCTGGGCCCTGGAGGAGAAGGCGAAGGGGTGATGGCGAGCCAGGCCCGAAGGTGCCCCCACCTGCCGGGTAGGCCAGCGCCCGCATACCTGCTGAGACCCAAGCTGAGGCGCTCCCCGCAGACACGGATCTTGTTCTGGGCTTCAATGTGCGTGAGGCCCCCGGCATTCTCACCGTCGATGCTCAGCACCCAGTCGCCCACGGCCACACCAGCCTGTGCAGCTTTGCCTCCAGGAGTGAGCTGTGGAGAGATGGAGGGTCAGGGAGGCCCAAGACTCTGCGGACCAAACTGGGGCCAACAGTAGACAACCCTGCTTACTCAGCCCCACTTCTAGCACCCAGAGACCTTCTCGTTCAACATAATTCTAGGCAGTTGCTGGATACTAAAGTTATCTAGGAGGAGTGTGGCTCACCTGAGCTTCACAATCGCCCTGCTTATTTAGTTATTCACCTCCTCGACCCTCCCCACGATCCAGAAACTACTATGACATCAACAAGCAGCCACCCTCAGGCTAAACCTCAAGCTTTTCAGCTCCAACCATATCCTCTTTAGGCCCCTGCTGGCCTCTTGCCCAGGCTATTCCACGCACCAGACATGCCCTCTGGCTTGGGCATGGGGCAAGTTCCTCCCTGACACTGCTGGGTGCTCTCACTGACCTCTTACGCTACCAGCACCCTGTCCTGGGGCCGTCTGCAAGGATCTGCCAGGACCCTTTAAGAGCCAGGAATAGGCCCCATCATCTCCAGATCCCAGTGAACAGTGCCTGAAGGGGAACCAAGGTGTCAGCTGGGGCTTCAGAGGCTATAAATGAGCATCACCCCCAAGCCTTCAACTGCCGCATCACTCTCTCCTCCAGTCCTTCAGGCTCTGCATTGGGAATCCCGGGTTCCTGTGGTCAGTGAGGTGAGGGGCAATAGGAGGCTGGAAAGAATGGTCACTACCAGCATGAGATGAGACCATCAAGGATGACTTCTGGGAAGCAGTGGGCCTTGGTGAAAGGAGAGTCAGTTGGGGGGTGGGAACAAGGGGTGAAGAGGCACATTTGTATGGTGACTGACAAATAATGTACAACTGAAATTTCACAATGTTATAAACTATTATGACCTCAATAAAAAAAACAAAAACCGGAAAGTAGATTGTGCTGCCTAGGGGATGAAGGGACCAGGACCTGGCCTTGAGGTTAGGAGAGGGGCTGTTAGCAGTTTGAAGGCCTGGGGTGGAATATTTCCCAGGCCCTGGCCAGAGGTAACCCTGACAAACCCCAGTGGGCCCTCCCAGCACTCTAGCCCAGTGGCAGCAACCCAGGCAAGGGCAGTGCCACTGTTCATGGGTCTCAGGCCACAGGGCTGCCCGGCCATCCAGCAAGGTGCCTGGTATTGAGCAGGTTTCTGTGGGGGAAGTGCTGGAAGGCAGATTCACACTTCACAGGTGTGGGGGGGTGGATTGGGGGATATAGGCTGCCCATGGCCCCAAGAGGCTCCTCAGTGCGCCAGTGCACAGACTGAGCTAAGGCAAGGAGAGGGGAAGCAGGAGGTTCCAGAGAGAGGGCAGAGGGACCAGACGCAGAGACTGACAGCACTGGGGCAAGAAGGGAGAGCTGGGTTTGACAGCTCTATTCCATGCTGGGGAGGTTGGAAGGGTAAGACAGCTGGGCAGCTCCTTTTTCACTGCAAAATAGTAAGAACAGCAGCTTACATTTATTGAGCACCTAGTATTGCCACATGCTGACACTGAATCCTCCAATAACCCTGTGGAGCAGGGTCTGAGATTATATCCATTTCACACAGGGGAAAACACAGAGGTTAAGTAGCTTGCCTCAGATGCCCACCTAGCAAGAGGCAGGGCCAGGTTTGACCCTGACTCTAAGGCTCTATTACACTAGGCTACCTCTGCTGAGTGTTGGGGCCCAACTCAGAGGTCAGCCCACCTAGAAAGACTCCCTGACCCCCTGGCTGAGTTTGGGGCCTGGATCCCCTCTCTCACCTTCAGTGCAATCCAACAACCCCTTATAATGGGCATGAGGAAGTGACACCCTTGAGGGGAAATGACTTACTCAAGGTTATGGTGAGTCAATAGAACGGAAACCTGGTCCAGCCACTCCCTCCCATACGGGCTGGGCTGGCTCCTGTGACATGTGGGCTGAGCTTGAGCTGGGGGTCTTGGTGGGGGGCAGGAGCAGCTGGCTCCCCGAAAAAGGAGTGGGGAGTTGGGGACTACTTCCTTTCCCGAGTGAGGAGGACAGGAAGCACAGGAGGGATGGGAGAGTGCTCAGAGAGGTAGAGAAAGAAGCAGGAGAGAACTCGGGGGTAGGGGGCAGAGGGGTGGCTGGAGAGAGAAGCAGGGAGGCCCTAAGTACGAAGGAGGTGAAGAGCCAGGGGGCTGGACATTGCATGGGGTGGGGGTGAGTCAGCCTGAGGGCTCCACCGAGCAGCCCAACCCCCAAGTCCCAGACGTTACCTCATCTCCCAGGCCTGGGCCCACAGCCAGTCCTGGGAGCCCCTCCCTCCTCTCTCCATGCCGGGGTCAGGGGAGACAGAGGGGGCTGGCCCAGCTCAGAAAAGACCACCCCATCGGCCCACCCACCAGGGCCTAGGTCCAACTCCAGGGCTGGGCTCAGCTCACCACCCCACCCACACACTGGGGCTGCTGACAAGCAAGGCGTGGCCCAGAGTGCCCCCAACAGGCCACAGCTGAAAGTCCATCCCCCAAGCTCACTATGTTGCCCATCCCCACCAATGAAGAAACAGTCTCACAGGCCAGCCAAGGCCTGCGACTCCCCAGCCACACTGGCCAGCACTTTCCAGGGAGGGGGATTCAGGATAGGTTTTCTGGGCTGGCAAGGCATCAGGACCGTAAGGGCTGGGTGTGTGTGTTGTAGGGAGACCTGCTGACAGGGTAGTTTCCAGGGGAACCCCATGGAAAGGTCCCTGGGAAGATCAGTGACCGCCTGCCTGCCCTGGCCACCAAGCCCAACTCCCGCAGACTCCGCCTTGGGGCCCCTCTCAGGCTGGGCAGTGCCTGGACAACCTTCTGGCCCCCTCCAGGCTGTGCCTGCCCTGGGCTTCCTGCCAACAGCCGCCTGCCCACCAGGCACCCGGGTGGGCCTCTCTGCACAGGCAGATGTGGGGACAGGAAGTCCCCACCCCACACTGACTCCTAGGCCACAGTCAGAGACACCAGCCCTCACCCTCTCTGGGCAGGCAGTTTGTTGTCTATGTCCCACAACTGACCCTACAGCTGGAGCTATGGCCTGGTGGTCACCAGCTGAGGGGCCCACCAATGCGGTTCAGGGGTCCCGGCCTAGGCCAGCCTTTTTCGGCTCTGCAGACTCCAGCCAGCAGATGGCCATCCCAGCATGGGGCTGCATTCTTGGGCTTATAAGGCAATCCCCCTGCCACAGGGAGGAGCCAGCCCTTAGCTCCACCCCCACCAGGGCAGGATCTTAGGAGTCACAGCCCTAGAGACCTGTCCCACACCCCTGCTTGGGGTCAAAGGCCACTGTATCCTGAATGGGACCAGTGGGGGATGCAGGTCCTCGCACAGGCTGGAAAGAGACCCTCCTCACTCTCCTAACCACGAAAACTGCAGGCCATCCCAGTGCCTGAATCCCAATCCCTGCTTTGTCATGGAATTGCTGGAGGAGCGCCTCCACCTCTCTCAGTCCTGAGCTCCCTCATCTGGAAAAACAGGATGACAACTGCTATTCCCTGGGTGGCAGTGAGGGTGAAGTGAGATCCTGCAGTCTGAGTGTCCTGCCTGGGGGCTGGCTCCAAGCATTGCTCCCTCAAGGGCCTAGACACTTCCTGGAGATCTCAGACTCCCCTCCTGCAGAATGGACATCCCTCAGGCCTCAGAGGTGGCCCCAGGAGCTTCATGGAATGGCATCAGGTATAGTGCAGTGCTGGGGAAGTATGAGGACTTCTTTCCCAGTATCCACCTAGTTAGGAGTCCTTGTGGCAGGTGACCACCACATCTCTGGACCTGGACACCTCCTGGACTCTTGGCCCTGGCTCCCTCCTGCTCAGACTCCTCCCATCACCCACTGGAAACCTGAGCACCCAAAGACTCCTGGGGGAGCCCCTCCCCCAACCTAGGCTCACCCGGGAGATGGACAGGGGCACATTGAAGTCCTTGCCCCCCTGCAACCGGAAGCCCCAAGGTGCTGGGCCATCCAGCACCACCTTGAAGGAATCCATGGTGTCCGTTCCTGAGAGGAGAGAGAAGGTGAGTGGCCAGCATAGTGAGTGTGCAGGCAGGCCCAGCTCTGGACACCAGCCTTGGACTGGTGCCACGCAGGCACAAGCAGACGCTTAGCACACCCAGGGCATCTGCAGGCGGGCACCTTGTCAGGTCTGGCTGGGCTGCTGGCTGGCAGGCCTCACTTTGGAAAGACAGGGGCAACCCTCCTCCCCCAGGGACTGGGAGGGTGAGGGGAGCCCGCATCCAGTCTTGAGGTTCTTTTCATCCAGGAGTGGGCCGCAGGGCTAATTTGGCACGGCCTCCCCCTAAGCCAGCCTTGAGCCTCGGATGGCGGTGGGGTGAGTCAGGGGCCCGGCACTCCTCTCCCCCGCCCCCAGGTCCCGGCAGGCAGGCCGCAGCTGGAGCCTGCTAGGACTATATAAGGCGTGTAAGCTGACACTGTGCGGAGAGTCAGCGGAGGGAGCACACGGGGGCTCGGGACGTGAGGGGGAGGGGTGGGGAGGGAGGCGACTGGAGCGAGTCCTAGCCATTCCAGGACCGGTCGAGGCTGCTGGGAACCAGGGCGGGACCCCTGGGCGCTGGGGGGGACCGGGCAGGGGTGCAGGCTCTGCGGAAATCGGTGGGGGCTGGACCCCAAAGCGTGGCCAGGAGGGGGATTCATCCTGGAGCCCAGTGGGGGTGATGCCACTCCGACGTGACTCAGTTTCCCCCTGGTCCCCCGCCCGGGCCCCATGCATTGGCCGAGTCCCGAGCGCAGGAAGCGGCGCAGGCGCCAATCGGTCCCGCCGCTGCCGGCTTCGTCGCAGGAAGGCGGGGGCGGGGGCCCGGGCCCGAGGGAGGAAGCGCAGCGCTGGCCACGACCCCTAATGCCCTCTGCGGTCCCCAGCAGGCCTCTGTCCCCCGCCTGGCCCAGCCCGAGACGCCCCGCGCTGTCGCCTGTACCTGCTCGGCCCCGCCGAGGCGCTGCTCGGCAGCGGTCTCCCAAACGCGGTGTTGGGCTCAGCCGCTCGTGTTCTGACCCCTCCCCCGTGGCTGCCGTCCGCTTTGAGCCCGCTGAAGGGGGCGGTGCCCCAGGCCACGCCCCCATCGAGGACACGCCCGCGAGCGGCCGGTCCGTCAGTGGGAAGCCCCACCCAATCCTCCCTCCCTGCCCAATCACGAAATCTCGTCTCGCTTTGAGCTGGACGGCACGGCCCGCCCCGGCCCCCTTGGTGGCGCGGGGCTGGCGCGGGGCTGGGGCGGGGCCTGGGCTGCGGGATGCCGCGTCTGGGAGCCCAGCCAGCCGCTCGGCCAACGCCTTGCGCCTCCCGCTGGCCGAGTGAAAAGAAGGCAGCCTTCGAAATCAAACAGATCTGGGCATTAGTTGTCTCTGAACATTAGTTTCCTCCCCGGAAAAATGGGACAATAATACTGGCCTTGCAGGGCCGCCGTGAGGAGGCATTCTTTGGCGTAAGGCGCAGGCATCCGCGGCTCCAGAATTTCTAAATCGAAGAAACTTGGTGGGAGGAGACACATCGAGGTGGGGTTAGTTGAGGTGGGAACAGGTTTGCAGAACACTCTACTGACGGCAGAAAATAAGGGCAGGAGCGGACGGAGGTGGAGGGGCCCCTGGGCTCCCTCCCACCCCCTGACCCCAGGCAGTCAGCATCCCGCTGCCTTGCGACCCCGGCTCAGCGACCCCACACTGTCGAGATGGGCTGTGTTCTGGTACCCGACTCCAGAGAGGGTAGCGCCGCTAGTGGAGGCGCAACGGGAGACTCTAGCGAGGGTATCCGAGTCCCCGCTTGGCCCCCAGTGCTCAGCCCCGGCGGCTAGCTCAGCCGGCGGAGGAAGTTGAGCAGGGACGGGAGTGAATCGACGTCCACCTCTCAGCTGCTTCTAGGGCATGGCCGCGGCTGCCCTCCCTGCTCCATCATCACGCTTCCCCTCTTCTGCATCATTCCCCTCACTACACAAACTGCTGCGAGAGTTCTCATCTTTAGAGACATCTGTCTTGACCCCACCTCCCTCTCCAGCTATTGCTCTTTTATTCTACTCCCCTCGAGAGTAAAATCCCTGGAAGGAGTTGTCTATTGCCCTGTCTCCGCTTGCTTTCCTCTCGTTCTTTCTTGAACTCACTCCAGTCAGGCTCTCATTCCCACCAGTCCTCTGAATTAATTCCCTTTTCTCAAGTTCTTTGATGCCTCCAGGTTATCAAATCAATGGCGGTTTCTCAGCTTTGTCTTACCGGTCCAGGGGCATTCCCTCTTCCGCTGGCTTCATGCCTCCTCCTGCCCCACTGGCTGCTCCTTCACCGCCTCAGTAAACAGCACCGCCATTCATCCACCTGGTCCAGTAAAAACTATGAAGTTATCCTTCCTTTCTCTTCTCTGTCATACCCCAGATTCTGCAATTCCCACCCTCAGAATATGTTCCACATCTGGTCACTGCTGCCGCCATTGTCCCTGCCACTTATCTCGTGTCTGGACGTCTTAACACTCTCCTAATAGAGCTCCCTGCTTCCATGCTTGCCCACTCCAGAGTCTTCGCCATGCAGCAGCCAAAATGATATTTTTAAAGCAGAAATCATACCACATCACCCTCAGCTTTTAGCATTCCGGTAGGCTCACATTGTACTTAAAACGAAAGACCTCAGGGGACGGCCCGGTGGCGCAAGCGGTTAAGTGC